GTGTGTTTGCGCCGATATTATTTCATTTTCCGCTACTCCAGCCCACTCTCCGTTGGACGCTGCAGAGACAACTTCCCGTCGGGTTATAAGGGATGTGTAACCTTATTTGCTGGTGCATGGTTGAAGTCATCTACGTTATCTTACCTAGATAGGAGTTATTTCTGTCGGTATCGCCGCCTTTATTTCTTCATCGTTGTTCTTTTTTCGAGCATCTTCTTAAAGGAAAATATGCTATATACATATTAGATTGATCGGAAAATCCTGTCACGTTTCTGTTCTTTGAAAGAAAGAAAATTACCTAAAATTTTTATAAATCGAAACGGCCGATTCATCAGACTTGAAACGAGTCAATTTTAAATGTCTGTTTTGGTCATCGATAAATTTAAACGAACTATCGAAAGAAAGTCCATGAATCTGAGGATCTTTATTCCTATCATTGTCTCTTCCGCTAGTCGAATCGATATATTTTCCTAGCACTCGGAACTCGGCATGAGCAGGACACGTCACTTTCCCGAGAACATCGAGGTCTTCCGGCGACATTTTTAGATATATCCTAGCATCGGCTATATCCGTTTGGTTACGCTGGTCGTTCGTTATATACGGCACACATATCCCACGACGCACGTACACTCGTGCCCACCGAGTATAAGTATAGGTATCAGAGCCTGGCAGGAGTTTCGTTTCATCCTACTTGTTGGGCAGGGCCCTTCGAGTGGCCAGAGTAAAGAACTTCTCCTTTTCTATCAACTTTTCTCTCCCGTTCGTTCCTTCTCTTAGGACCAAGGGGGGATTGTTTGCACTCTTTACTCTCTTCCTTTCCAGAGCCACTCTCCTTTCTCTTGTTCCTTAGATTCTTGGCTCGATCGGCCCATCCACGCCCCACGGGATCTTGCCACCCCGTCGACCGAACCTCAGATTGCTTTTATACCGTGGATTGATTGACAATATACTTACGTTAGTCGAGTGGACCGTACAGTTATGGAGACGGTCACACCCCCCATTGAATAGCCCTTCTTTCCTTCTTTTTCCTCTACTTCTCCTTATTCTTCTTCTTTTTTTCTATTTCTTCTTCTTTTTTTTTTCTCGTTCGTCTTTATTTTTTGTTCTCTTGACTGTTTTGTCTCTATCTATTCATTTTCTTATATTTACATACTTTTACATACTACTACATACTCATAATATACTTTGCCGTTTTTCTTTTTCCGGTTTCCATTTTTCTTTATCTTTTTGTCGCTTCTATCAAGTGATGATCATTTTCTGGTAATATACCGGGCAGAAGAAGATAATACTCCGAATCATTGTATAGAAAAACATTGAAGGATATCCGTTTCCTCCATTGAAAGTCACCTTTCTTTTAACCGTATCAGCGTTACGCAACGTTGTCTTTTGTTTCAAGTTCACTGATATATTTAGAAGTTTGTTTGTTCCCTATTCTCCGGATTACGCAAAATGTTGCCCGAAGTGAATTAAATACAGGCCATCTCGATATTTCAGAGCGGTTATTTTATAGGAAACTGTCGACTGGTGTGTATCGTAAATCCATTGTCGGTATGTTGGGCTATCATGAATTGTGCCCTTGGAGAAAGTGAACGAAAGACAAAGTACACCCTGGCGAAACCATTTCGTGTGATCTGCTCCACCCAGAGACCCGTATATTGCATCGTAAATCTTCACTGCTCGGAAACGATGAACTGTAAATTGCAAATTACAAATCTGCAGTTGTACCTCTATTTCAATATTTCTATCAAACCATGATTTTCTTAAATATCAATATTAAACGAATATTTCGTAGCTTACTTCTCAAACTAATAAAAGAATTTACTTCTGTTCATCAATTTATAGATATATTCTGTTTATCAATATTTATAGATATCGTATAAGTGTATCAATAAATGAATCGTCCGAGCCATTTAAAGATACGTAGACAAACAGCTGATACGATAATGATAGAATTTATTGTGCGAGAAAATTCAAAGGAATGGACCGGAACTTGGTAACTTGTAAAAATCTTACGTCAAGGTCCGAAGGTATCCCTTCTCGCGATCCAGAGAAGGGGCAGTGCTATTCACTGAATTCAGAATGCGTTTGGAGAGTCTCCAGTCCCCTCTTTACCTTTACTATTCTCGGGAAAGACGTATGAATCGTCGTCGGATGGTTGCGGTTCCCTGAGCGTGGGACACTTTAGAGGCTATGTCCCCGGAATACGTAACTCGGGATTTTGAACGTGCATTCTTTCTTATCCTTTTTCCTTCTGCACTCTATCCTCCTATCTTTATGCTTTCCACTTTTTCTACATTTTCGGCGCTTACGTTAAAATCGAATTATCCTATTATGCAAACGTAGAGAATGTATCATCCGTTCGGACAAATCTCTCGTTGTCTGGCCAAGGCCGGCTGACTGGCAGTATCTATTAGAACAAATATAGTGTCTTTGGTTCATCGTCTCTAAACTAGTCGATGTTGCAAATTAATATCGTAGAGATAAATTTATTATTAAAATAATAATAAACATGTTATTCTTTCTATATCCGTTACTAAACTATCACTTTGCTTGATATATCCAAAAATATTATTTTTTCAACAAATATACTTGGGGAAATGAAATCCTTTAATTTCTGTAAATATTTCATTGCTTCTGCAGAATAATATACTAAAGAAAACTATAAAGGTTTGCACCTGTTATGTCGTGTGATCTAGGTTACATATTCTTGGTCTGATTATCTCGATGTACTAGATGTTCGTGTAACTTGCGTACTAAACCGAAAATCGGAATGGACCGGACCCCTAAACTGTATTTTACGACTGACAGCATCGTAAAACGTAATGCAGAACGCTTTTGGAACGTTGCTTGACGTACATAAATTCGCACGATGTAAGATTTTGGCAGAGTTGTACGTTGAGATGAAATCGTTTATGGACAAGTAGTCGTTGTTTAAGTAACAACTATCAACGTATTCCAAACATGTGTAAAGTCTTATCTGTTATCATCAATGGCAAAGTCAATGATAACATCGGCTTGATATTGTATTCTTGCTTCTCTCTTATACCGCTGATTATTTTATATTTATAAATGATAATATGAAATTTAGCGGCCGATGGTTTAAGGATATTTGCTCGTAGCATTTTCGCGTTGTAGTCTATTTTCCTAGGTCTCCGGTACGTTGCATATGATTAATTATAACTATTTAAACTGAATATATTTAATATTCATACAGAACGTCAAATATAATTATGCAACAACTCCGCTACAACGTGGTTATCACGTTATCATTAATATGTAAAATTAGTTACTTCAGGATTAAATTCATCATAAAGTTTTCATGAATACACACCCGAGGCATAATGATAATCGGTTGAATATAATAAACATTTCTGCGTATCGCTTGTCAAGTATTAATGACACATGTCATTTTCGTTAAACTTGGAAGATATCGTAAACGTTCGATATTTCCTATACGTTTTATAACTTGCTAACGGGAAAGGAAATGTCATGCAAAAATGGCGTTGCATCGCGTAAATTAGTCAGCAGATACATCACCATCTGTAACGAAATTTTTGGGATCGCGATCTCCGCAGATTTACTAGAAATTTTATGGGTTAGCACGGTGCGCTATGGAAGGTTAAAGGAATTTTCAGCATAAATGTTAGGAAATTAGTCAGATTATTTATCGAGGGTGTATACGATAACTATTTTTCTTGGTATTTTCCTCGCGTGCCAGCTTTTCCTCACTTAAGGTTGGCGTTGCACTCTGAACTCTACCCTGAACCGCAAATATTGGCTACCCCGTAACAGCTACTCGTAAAAATCACTTGATTACAACCCCTCCCATATCACCTCGAGGGCCACCGTAAGATGAGGCGGAAAGTAAAAAAAGTCATCCTACGTCCTTTTTATGATCATTGAGGAAAACACGAAATTTGGCACGAAAAAACTTTCAATATTCTATGGATCAGTGGTTCTCATTCTTTACTAAGAGGTAAGAAATAAATGGAACGTTCTTTGAGTTAGTAAAGTAAGTTAATTGCTCTAATAACGAATTTATAAATTGCTAGTTACTGTGTAAATTTTTCAACAAACAAATTAAAATCTTGTTTCGGACAGTTGCAAGCAACCATTATGAAGAAAAACCTTTGCGACTTTGTTCATCGAACGCGGTAGCACGAAATACCGTAACAAGTAATTAAGTTAGAAGAAGATTAAGAGATAAAATGTTTCTGTGTTTTATTTACCATAAACTAGAGGTGGATTAATTCTTGACGCGATGAGAAAGAACTTTATGATTTTTCAAGACGCGAAATCGGAAAGTTTCGCCGGTTTAAAAATATTTTATTACCCCATGGACGTTAGTAAACGAAATAACCTGTTTATAACGATACAAAAACGTTTCGATAAATTACAATAAATAGGTGGTTATTATTTAATAGCTAGTAACATTACTACGTAGCTATCTTTACGTGTTTTTACAATATTTCTGCTCTACTGTAACTGCAACGATTAAGAATAATATATGTATTAAATCTGATTATTAAATATTTTCCGCAATCATTCTTCACTGAGTATCACTATTATTAAGTAAATCGTTATTGTTTCAAATGTGCTATCAGTTTCTGTTATCTAAACGGCGATGTTATAAATGATATATTGCTATGTTGTTATTAGAAACTGTTATTTCGTATTTTAATTTCGGATGGAATTTTCGTTTAGTTTTATGTATAAAAATTTAATCACGAGAAAAATTGTAAACGTGGCATTACTTATAATTTTCTAGTCATAGTAATGACATCCCAGATAACGCGCCAGCCTTGATATTTCAATAGGTAGGAACCTGATATGATTTGATCGATAAAGCCTCCATGTTGTTGCACGGATACCGCTATATTGTGATTATCGGGGAATTATATAATCTGTTAAATAACATTGGTGTTGATAGAAATACGATATAATACATAAAAGTAAAACCGCATGCTTTCTTCTTATAGACGAAATAATTTTTGTTTCAGATTTTTTTACCTCTATCACTTCTCCTTCTACGCATATCATTACCGATTTAATGGGCAGTACAGCAGCTTGGCCCTTGTTACATCTTGGCTTTTCATACAGGTAAGTATCTTTTTTGATAAATGGTTGGTGTAAGAATTACATATTATATTGTTTGGTAACTATGGAGAGTAGACATCTACGAAATAATATTCACAGAGCAAAAATTATGAAAGTAAATATTTACATGTTGTAATACAAATTTCTACTGTAATGCTATTTTGTTTTAAATTCTCATTCTTATAATATCAATCAATCAATGTTTAGATGAAGACCATAAAAGGCAACCGAAATTTATTAATCACGTCCCACTGTATCTTAAAAATTTAATAATTGACAAACAAAACATGACTTTGTCTCTGGTTCAACATTTCACCTTAAATTCGATCTATGCTGGTTTATGTAAAGCCTTTGACTCTGCTAGCCATGTCATTCTTATTTTAGAACTTAAATCCCTTGGCTTCAATGTTAACCTATCCTAGTTATACAGTATAGTTACCTCGCTAACAGGCTTCAAATTGTTAAATTTAATGAATGCTACTCGAAGGCAATTGCTGTTCTCTTAGGTGTCCCTCAGGGATCCTACTTTGGTCCGCTAATTTTTATCCTCTTTATAAATGGTATTTCTTCTGTCTTCTTGCACAACAAAATGTTACTTTTTGTCGACGACCTCAAGATTTATCGAGTAATTGCGTGTGTGAAAGATGCAACTATCCTGTAGAGGGATCTTGATAGGTTTACTCAATAATGCCCCAGAAACAGATTAGAAATTAACAATTCCAAATGCAATATAATTCACTTCAATCGTAAACTTGCCTCTATCTATTCATTGTCAACCACATCCGTGATCGTGGAATATTCTTTTCTAACAACCTTTCTTTTCAAGTTCACTGCTAACAAGTATTGTAATTCATACCTCATACAAAACACTTGGCTTTATTTATCGTACCGCTAAATTTTTTCCCAATATTTCTGCACTATGTACGCCGTGCTCTATAATTCTTTAGTTCGTCCTCATCTTAAACACGTTTCTGTTATTTGATCTCTTTAATATAAAAGTCAAATTATCCAATTAGAATCAGTATAAGCCAAGTTCCTTAGGTTCGCCTCATATTTTAACTAATACACCTATGTCTTAGTATTGTCATGATTACGGAACTATTCAATCGCGTTTGGAGTTATTGACCGTTGAGCAGCGGCGCACTATAACATAATCATCTTCCCTAATATCTTATACGAAGTAAACTTCTACATTTCTCTACTTTCTTTAAATCCGAACCCTATCCAACTACTACTTCAAATTGTTAAATATTATGTATGCATAATTGCTAACCAGTTTTGTAATATTATTGACTTGTTTTGTAAATCTTTAGGTTTTATCAAACTATCAGCTTGCAACACGGTCCGCAATCATTAATCACCAATTGTAGTAACATGTAACTACAAGCTTTCTTACCCGTTAATTACAAATAAACACTATTATTATTGTTATTTTATGATTCAACTGATGTCGTCGCTCAAGACACACTTTTAGGCAAATAATATTTTTCATTTCTTCGTAACTCAGTCATTTTTGGTAGTATATCTTCAGTACCCTTGCTTAACAATTAAATAGCGCAAAGAAAGGATACGACACCAGAGACTTACGTTTATTAGACGTTGTTAATAATTTTTTAAAAGAAAGTAGATTTAGTTAAACAGTTCTAAAATATACCGATTTAACAAGAAAAAAATATGAGAATATCTCAAAGTCTAGCATTGCGTATACTTGGGTAAAATGTTTCCGGATTAAGACGCAAACGAGCAGTCGTCGTGGATGGTAAAATAATCGTAAGCGGTTCCAACAGGAATACAAGTAGAAAGCGCAAGAACACTTGTTCTCGTTAGTACTGAAAACCTGCGCATTAATCAAGAATACTTTGCGACCTACTTGAGAAACACTCGGCCGAATAAATATGTTCCTGGCGAATTTAACAGTGGTGGTCGTTCGAGGTGGTTATCAAAGAACTCTGCGCAAACAATGAGCACACGCGTTTAGAAATTATGTCACGGAGTACTTTTCCCCTTTGGCGTCTACCGCCTACCGATCGATCACTCCTTTCTGACATCGATCGTGAATTTCTCAAGAGGGCTGCAAATGTGTTTGCCTTTCAAATTGCTTAGCCCCGGATGTTCGTCGTGCGTGAAAATATGTTTTCTCTCTTGTGCGGTCGAGAGCTCGTTCGATTGGACGCTTGAAGCCGGCTGAATTAAATCGATGAGATCCGTAATGACGAGGAACGTTACAGGGTGGATTCGTTTTGATGGACGAGAAAGACTAATTGTGGCTCAAATAAGTGTAACCGAATGAAAAAAATTTTGGTTACATTTTTTTACATTCATGTTTTATCTAGAGACAGATTTTATGCAAAGTTGATTAAAACTTTGAATCGTTGTTATAATATCTAAATGAAAATACAACATAGCTAATTTTTGTTAGAAATTAAAAGAGGTGTTGTGCAATCCAGAAGAGTCGTGGTCCACAGCGTATAGTGAGCTATATTGCCGAGTTCTTTTCGCGGTAGATTTAATAATTAGGTGTTCGGGGATTGATTTCCGTCAGTTCGAACGATATAAAACGAAGGACGAATATTTTACAAGGAATTCCAGTGGCTTCTGGTGAAAGTTCTGCTATTGACAGTAACGATAGCGAATGAAGAGCCATTGCTTTGCAGTCTAGACCCTGCCATCGCTCAAACTTAAGTTACGTAAACGCGACCAGGACAATGCACCTGACAGTTCAATCAATGAGAATAATTTAATGCCAACTTAGGATTTCAGTGAGCGGGCATAAATACCATTCAGTTCTAGTTTTCTCCTTTGCTTTAGTTTTCTCTCTCCTTCTCTCTGTCTCTCTCTCTCTCTTTTTCTCTCTCCGAATACATTGTACATACATCTTTATAACGTACAAAATCGAGTCCATTTACTCTTGAAAATTTTCAGATATTCGTAATCCTATTTATCCCCACGGATGTTATTTATAATTTTTCTTGCATCTAGCTTGATAATATTTTGCGAAAACAATACCTATTGTAATAATGAACTAATTAGCTCTATATCGATATACGTTAATAATACAAAATTAATTTGTTATTAAATGTATTTAGTTATATATCTAATCTACATATTCAATCGTATCATAAGACATCATGTTGTCTTTCGTCAGAAAAAGAGATCATATCTTCGATTAAGAGACTAAAATTAAGTCTCTGCAATGAGTATGTTTCGTTCCATTTGATTAGATTAGTCCATAAGAACAATGGATGATGAAATTGTCATTATCACCTCGAAATTACTGTTTCTTGGAGATCTGATAAAGAGTGGACTTAACACGAATACAAATGTTTTGCAATTTTTTTGAAATGTATGATATAACTCAATATTTCGTCATGTTTTTCTACGAATGAGTATTTACTTCGCATCGTATCTGTAAGTCATTCGTAATCGTCTTAATTGTTGACTGCAAATTTCAAGTTTACTGAAGTAATTTTAAATTAAATGAACGATATAGCATACCTTGATAATTGATTTCCTTTCGTTATTTTATCGTTAAATGAGAAAGACTAACTATGTAGTCGTAAACATTTCGTTTTCGTAAATGAAATTGGCAAATTTTCAAAAAAGTAAATTTTTCAGTACAACAATTATATCCTAGGTAATCTGATTCGATAGCGTATTTTGATAATGCAATGAATCATAATTAGATCATCGCGATGGGCGTATTAACAGTTATTACTCTAATGGCGTTACAATAGCTAGCTGTTACGTTAATAATTGCGTTCGGTATGTACTGTATATATATTTTGCGTGGAAAAATTAAATACCATTAAAGTGCAATGGAGCGGCTAATTAGCCGATAAAAGATACGAATGAATAACAGATTCGACTGTTATATGCTCACAAAAGGAATATTCATTTTATGACACCATTGCGTATTAAAAGTACGGTGGAATTCGTAATAATCTCGAGCAGATCGCGAATTTACGCGGATAAATGAATATTTTTAGAAGAAAATAATATGGTTGATATACGTAATGGTAAGTCGATCGTATTTAGTTTGATGTATAATTAAATATCTTTAACTAAATAATAAAGAAATCTCGTTTTATGAAAAATTATGTGAAACAAATTATAACGCATTCAAATATTTTTTGTTTTGTTGAGTGGTTTAGAAAAGCCCAAAATTAGTACATTTAAAAGCAATACATAATCAAGTAGTTATCTGAAATGAATAACGAGACTACGTCAATAGGATAAAAATCAAATCCAATCCAAAAAAAAAAGAAGAAGAAAAAAGAAAAAAAAGTATTCGTCATTTCTTAATAGCTTTTGTTTCACTTTATAGCCAATAATTAAATCTAATCTGGAAATAAATCGATGATTAAATCTAACGTGAAAGTATTTCAAAGTCTTCGTTTCTTTATCTGCAACATATCTAATTTAACAATACCTCTATGAAAAAATGCAAACAAATTTTCGTACGAATATCGCTTGATTCGATGGAGGAATACATACCTATCTTACCATTTCAAAAATTACTTTTCCAGAAGCGATATTGTTCTTGAGGATTTTCATATTCATCTTGGGTTATATTCAATGACCGGTTAACCATCAGGTGATCTAGCTATCGCGAATTTTGATAATATTCCTCGAGCGCTGAAATTAAGTTACTTACTGCTGTCCTAGTCGCGATTAATATCAGCCGATAGTTAAGCGGTGCTCGTTAACAAGAGCAACCAGCCGGCCAAGCAACGATCGGCAATTATTTCCCCGGAACGAGTTTATGAATAGAAGCTAGACCACAGGAAAATTCGAAAACCCGCCGGGCAACAAGACATGATCGGTTAAACCGAATCGTTTTGACTCCTACCTCGCTCTCGCTTATTCTCTCCCTCCCTCCCTCTCTCTCTCTCTCTCTCTCTCTCTCTCTCCCTCTC